GATCTTGCGTAACTTTGAATCCAGATCTCCCACGTCAAACAGAGTGGGATCTGAGCACGAGACTTAGATCCTATGAGTCTTAGCTTATTCTAGGTTAAGAACGTAATCATAGGAGAAAAATAAATAAATAAATAAATAAATAAATAAATAAATAAATAAACGAGAACTGCTTGTAAATTATCGAGAATTGCCGTCCAGTCTCTGAGTTACGAACTGTCTCTAATATTTACTGTATAGTGTGAGATTGAGAGAGTTCAGGAACATTGTAATGAGAATGATAGTTGGTGAGAAGTAGGCTGAAAACTTGGGCAATTTTAAAAATGATTAATTCAGAACATGAGTACGGTGTGTACATCAGAGAACGAAGCTTCCACGTTAGAAGGCAGGTCTGATCTTAGACTCAGAAGAACTACTGCTACACTGCCACAGTCTGACAAAGGACGGCTCCATATCTGCGTGAATGATAAAGTGTCCTGTTGATAAAGAGAACAAGCAACGATTTAAGTTACTTAGGGATGATTTATAAGGTGTAAAAAAAGAGGTTTGAACAGCTTACTTAGACAACCAAACAGAAACACCAATCCTCCGTAGGAAAAAAGATGGCGACTGGTACATTTACTCATAGTTCTTAGCACACGAAGACCTTAACAACGATCATAAAAACGTCAAACCTAGCATACACAATGTCCTTCGTACAGGGACAAAGTTTGTAAAAGATTGGCTTTGTTTGTGCCTTAAGGCTGTGTTAGGTTCGCAAGGTATTGTGGTAAAATGTACAGCCGCTATCTTTTTTCCTACGGTACGGCGGATTAGGAAAATCAGTGCCTTTTCCGCTCTTCTCTAAGGCTCTGTCCACACTATACGCCGGAGAAATTTGAAAACGCAACAATCACCGGAAATTTGGGATTTGTGTTTGAGGAAAACTCAGGCGGGGAAAATATATGATTGTCGTGACGCCATCGATTTCAAAAAGCTCCGTTTTTAAAGTGTTTTACGTCCACACGAAAACGAAAAGCCGGCATTTTCAAATTCCTCCGGTTTGAAGAGCGGTTTCGAAAAGCTAGGTGTGTAGGCCTCAGCGTAGAAATAAAACTGCGTTTTCAAATTTCTTCAACGTAGTATGAACGCTCCCTAACATTATTTTTTTTGAAGCCGGCATTCTGTGGTACCTTTGCTATGCGCTTTCCTTGCTTTCCCAGTTTGTCCTGGTTTACGGCAATGATTTCTCTGCAAGAACACATTATCAAGTTGCAGTGTATTTATGAAGTGAATATAAGCTTTTAAAGTGCGAGTGTACGTATACTTAACTCATCTTCAAGGTTGCTTTTTTACACGGGTCTTCTTAAAGCCTGA